CGAGCTGATGTCTTCATAATACATTAGTTTGTATTTGATGAGCCTCGGTTAAAATTTCTTTTTCATATAATATTTTTTTTTATGGAACAAGTGTCTATACAATCTTGTGCGAGAGCCGTGTCTGATGTAACACGTTTATATACACTTACGAAAATATTAAGAGTGATTGACTCACCTGCATCGTCCTTGGCATTTGGGTCGGCTCCTCTTTCAAGCAGTGTTTGTACAATTTCAAAATTCCCATTCTGGACTGCGATATGTAACGGCTTTCTTCCTACAAAACAAAAATAGAAGGTAAATATATAACACCATGTGACAATATGCAGATTATACTAGAACTCATAATGACTTCCTGATATTCCCGTCTGTAGAACAAGGCAGTGGTACAGGGCTACCAACACTCACCCTGGTTTTCGGTATCCCCTACTTCCAGGTTGGCACCCCTGTCACAAAGCAGCGCAACGGCGTCCGTCGACCCGCTTTCAGTAGCATAATGTATCGGTTTCTTTCCCTGTGTTGGGTTGCCATCAGGCTGATCTCCTCTGCCCAGGGCTGCTGCGATCCCTCGACAGTCGCCCTCTTTGATAGCATCAATCTTTTGACAGGAAGGTGGATTTTAGTAAAGAATTGGTCGAACAAGTGGTCAGTCGCCAAGCCTATTGAGGGTCGGACAACGTTATATGTCATGGATATCAAATGGATGAATACATTTTAGGAAATTATTATTCCAATTATTTGTTAAAGATCTGTGATTTATTTTACTTAGGTTTAGGAAACATTGTCTAACACATACACACAAACACACACTCATATGTGTGTGTGTGTGTGTGTGTGTGTGTGTGTGTGTGTGTGTGTGTGTGTGTGTGTGTGTGTGTGTGTGTGTGTGTGTGTGTGTGCGCGCGCGCGCGCGTGTACACATACACACACATGCGTCTGTCTGTCTCTCTCTCTCTCTCGCATCCCGAGCACATTTAAAACCTTACAAGATAAGATAAACTGAAAAAAACATTAAATAAACGTATTTTCGTTTGGACGCGTATGGCCTTATTTGGAATCTCCTTACTGATGGTCTACCTGGCCCCGTGTATAACGTTCCTTACATCTGAAGTTACCGTTAAAGATTCCTTAATTTCAAACAGGTACTCTATCCCCGCCTCGGCAGACCTGGCCTAATCTCATTTCCGAGAATAACATGTAACTCCTTGTTCACATCTATTGATTGGCCTTATCAGTACCTTCTTCCCTTGCTCTGGACTTGAACCACTTCTGTAGAGAATGGAGCTACACTCCCTGTATTCCACCTCGTTCGATTCTAGTATACACATACGACTCTCCTTCTCTATATCTCAGAGTCATTGTCCCCACCACGCTCAGGTCATCCTTACTTTTAATAAATGCGTCTAACGTGTTTTCTTGGTGGCACAAACGTAAAATGAACGGGTATGTATTGTATGTGCTATCAGTGAATATAGCGATAAGAGACATAAATGACATTATCATCTAGCATTCCAGCAGTACCTGACCATCAAATGCATGCCTTATAAAGTCTACAGTGCTTTATAAAGGGGGCAACAATAAACTGTGAAATATGTAAAAGATACACTTCTGGAGACAAAACTAGTTCCCACAATCTCTTTCATTACTTAAACATTTGTACAAAAACTGCATCCTGTCTATGAAGTGGTACAGTCCAGGCGATATCAATTGTAAGCCCAATCGGCACGGATGACAAGAATATATGCCATGCCTACTGTAATATAAGTTTATTTATTGTATTTACACACAGGTGGCCTTACAAGTACTTAGTCACCAAGGACTCGGTTATTAGTCCTACGTATCTCACCTGTTTACCCTTTTCCTCGACTTCTGGAAAGGGTCTTTTGTATTATTTCATTGTCTTGAATGTTACCAAGATTTTAATGACAATTTTATCATCATAACATCACTAACAATAACAATATCGATATCAATTGTATTAAAAAGAAAAACATTTTCACGCCAGTTCAAGGAATGGGGAAATCAGGATCGGTCATTAGGGTCTACTGATAGAGCCATCTGTATGTAAGAAAATTCACAAAAAAAAACTACAGGGGACAGAACGTAAATTCGTGGTGGTTGGGTTAACTTTACGTAAGCACTGGTCTCATTTTCTATAAATTGTGGTAATAAAGGATTCGATTCCCTTGGTGTGTTAAAGGAGAATACAATGGAGCCATTTTGAGTCGTTGAAAAATCTTTCCTTAGTTTTTCCGATAATATTATATATTATGCTTAAAGTCCATTCATCCACTCTTCCATACACGCACACACACACACAAGCGATAAACACATATTTTCAAATCGTCTTGTGATTTATAATTCCCACTGCACTCCAAAACAAAGAAATATTGACTCACAAGCATTGTTACTATTTTCTTGTCACGGATTTCGCTCTTTCCTTCGTTCTAGGACCCAGGAAGATGGAAGAAAAAAATATTAACCCCGTTGCCGTTAAGACGAGGTGGAGACTAAAAGGTAAGGTTGCCGGGCGCTGGTATCATATCATTTTGTGATAAGATTTTTTATCCCTCTCAACCATTTATCTCCCTCTTCCTCTTGATGTCTGTCTGTCTGTCTCTCTCTCTCTCTCTCTCTCTCTCTCTCTCTCTCTCTCTCTCTCTCTCTCTCTCTCTCTCTCTCTCTCTCTCTCTCTCTCTCTCTCTCTCGCTCTCAGTGGCCAGAATTATATGAAGGGGGAAGGGGATAATTTTTCCTTCCATTTTGATAATCCACTCAACTACTGTACGGACTGGAGAAACTCTGTACTGTCCTGTAAAAACTTATTACTCAACACTACCCTTCACATTTTTTCTTTTAATCCTTGGAAAACAAATGATGTTCTCTCCTTCCTTATCTTCACAGGTTCACATATGGCTAATCATTCCTGTGTTTAGTAACATTTATATTAGACAATTTAACAGGCTTAATTTCTTTGTCTTTAATCCTTAGGGTCCCATGAAGCAGTCTTTTAATCTGGATACTTGTATCTATGATCGAAATGTCTTATAGAATGCCTAATGTAAAAAAAAAAACCTCTCCCTTCCCCTAAAATTAACGTCATGGTTGATATGCTTTGGCATCATGGCTTAAGCCTTGCCCCCTCAATCGGGGCAAGGCTAATTCCTACATTTTTAACTCCCTAGGACCGACAGTGTCGATAGTTGAGATGTTTCTTTAAAAGGAAATAATTTTGATACATTAGAGAATAGAGAAAAGGCCTTTTTAGTTAAGAAGCTCAATGTGTTGGACTTTTCTCAACACTACTAATTAGACGTCATTGTTTTCAAAGACTGATTGGATAGTGAGTGCGCTGCCACGCGTACGTGAGAATATGGTCAAATACAGTCGAGAGAGAGAGAGAGAGAGAGAGAGAGAGAGAGAGAGAGAGAGAGAGAGAGAGAGAGAGAGAGAGAGAGAGAGAGAGAGGGGGGGGGTGATAAGAATTACACGCAGATTAGGGTAGAGGGGCTATATATCATACTACCATTGGAACTCTATTCAGAAAAATATCGGAAATTAATCGGATATGAAACAAATTTACATGCAAGAAAATTGTAGCATTTCCCGATATTATGCCAGTGTTGTGACAAGAGTTTTTTTTTCATATTAAATAAAATAATAATAATAAAAAATAAAGGGGTGAATTTGGTACGGTTTAAAACACATGAGTCATGGTTCACATGGTATCACCAAATGGACATTTACACTGACAAATTACTTTATGCTACGCCTTAACCACAAGTCGGAGGGTAAAATGTGCTCATTTTCCTTTTTTGTGAAATGTCTTTGCACATAGATGGCTCTGCTAGTGCTTATCCACAAAGGAGTCAATTAGTAGACCCTGTGACCGTACCTAATTTCTCCCTTCCTTGAATTGGCTGGAAATTATTATTTTTTTTTATACTAGTGCCATCTTTTTGATGAGCTCAGACCTTTTTCAGATGCATCAGCAATAGATTAAATAGCCTTGTCCCACAGGAGCTACCCTGGTGCCAGGGGCCTCTCGTCACGCTTTTTGCAGGTTGCACGAGCCTACAGTAGTAGTAGTCAGCACCCGGCATTGACTTCTAGGTAGGGATGCCCACTAGTCTGGGGCATCCTTTGGGCGCACTTTTCCTTATATATTTATTTTTTTCTTCTCTTCATGTGACTTTCCTGAGCCTACCGGAGTGCCCTTGTGGGCTCCCGTATTGGCTTGGGGGGTGGGCATCGAATTACCTAGGCGGTAACGAGGTGGCTTCCGCATAACTCGATCCCTTTTTGGTATTGGAGAGCGCAACCAGGCTTCCGCTGGGGAGTAGAGAACGATAACTGCCATACTCTTCTCTTAGCTATTGCAGTTAGGTTGATTATCAATAGTTAAGAGTTATCTGGTCCCTTCATGACAACGGGCATGGGTCCAGGGTTCAGACTTGATCTGAAACCCAGCAGGAGGGAGGACGACCCATGACACTCATGACCAATGCAACTTTGAACAATGGAACCCAACTGCTGACAAACGAGAGCGACGAGTTTTTGCAATCCCTCCAGAGAATGCAAGGTATTTGACTGTGAAAGACGAGGCTAATAATCTAAGGTCATTTACTTTAGTTCTAAGACTTCGACAGATCCACTGTATAATGGTTAATGCGAAGATTGCGTTTTATGGGAATGGGTAGTACCTTTCTGCCAATTTTAATTTTCTTTTTTTTCTGGGAGGTTCGTCATACTCTCCCTCGCTACCCATGGGTGTTTTTGGAGACAGTGGCCATGTCCTGCGTCTCGCTGCCAAGGAAACGCCCAGTAGATGATCTGTTGGACGAGGTGTGATCCAGATTGTTTTGGCATTATCCTCCTTATGATGCTGCTGCTTTTGCTGGGTTGAATTGTATTTTTCAAGTATTTAATATGACTCATTAATTCTTTAACCGTTTCCTGCAGTTTCTTTATCTTTAGACGCAAGCTCCTGACTGATGCCGTTTGCACTGAGTGTTGTTAGTTGCTGCTGAAGCATGGGAAGCTGCTGCACTCGGCAAAACCAGATTGATGGGGACCTCCACAATTAGCATACTTGAGTGTTCTCAGTACATTCAGTAGTGTCATGAGCTCCAGCATATTTACCACAAGTAAATTTAGTAGTAGTATTATCATTGCATGAGGTGTGTCCAAATTTTTGGCATCTATTACAGTGCATATGTTTTTTTTAATATAAGGTCGCACTTGGACACATTCGTATCCAACCGTGACATACTCAGGAATTTTACTCAAAGCAAAAGTTAGAAAGCACAATCTGTTTTTTGTTCGCAGATTCCCGGCTTTCTTGGTCATACAGTTCACTTCCACTATGCTTTGGTCCTTCATATTTTAAAGATTTTCACTCCCTTGCAGGTATTGGGGCCAAAAGGGATAGTTACTTTAACTTTCAAATCATGAATCTGCGTCAGTTTAATTAAGTCATTAACCTGGGAGTTGAACTGCACTTTCACAAGGAGGCCCAGGAGCCCTAGAAGCCTGTAGAGGAACATCCCCAGGCCTCGATGAGATCTGATTTGAGATGATAAAGCACCTTAATCATGATGCCATAATTAAGTTGCTAGAAATGTACAATGAAATTTGGAAGAGTCACACGTTTCCAAACTCAAGGCACTTCATCCACATCATTCCCATACTGAAAGAAGGGGGGAATCCCAGATCTGCCATCTCCTACCGCCCAATTCCGTTGAGAAGTTGCTTATGCAAGGTCATGGAACGGATTGTTAATATTGCATTTCTTAAATTCCAGTAATTTATTAGCTGACGAGCAGTGCGACTTCCGAAAAGGACACCAAACTCTTGATCAGTTAGTAAAACTGGACAGTCATATTCAGTCATCTTTTTTTTTAGATATAGAAAAAGCCTACGACATGACTTGGCGATATGGCCTACTCAGAAAACTTTATGCTTTTGGATTATGTGGAAACTTTATATTTTATTCAAAATTTCATTTCTGACAGAACTTTCTGTCAAACTTTTTTTCCGACAATGTCACTTCTTCGGACATTTTTGTCCAGACAAATAGGGTCCCACAAGAAAGTGTCTTGTCGCCAACATCATTTCTATGTACGATAAATGACATCTTACCAGCTCCCCCTTGGAATCGTAAAATACTCACCTTACACAGATGAATGTGCATTATGGCAATCCAGCAGTAATGGGAATTATCAGCAAATCGCATCCAACTGGCACTGGATATGATTTATAACTGGGGCCTCCAGTGGGGTTTTAAGTTTTCCACAAGAAAGCGCATTGGGGTATTTTTTTCACATAGGAGGAAGCTGAACATCAGGCTAACTCTAGACAATCACCCAATACCTATTCAAAATACTGCTAGATTTCTTGGTCTACTCTTTGATCGTGGACTTTATTGGAAAAAAACACATTGGTCAATTAAAGAATAAATGTCAAAGATAGCCAAATTTATTACAGTGCATTTCAGGTAATAAATGTTGAGTTGATAGAAAGTCTTTGCTAATGATATATAAACTCCTTATTAGGTCTAATGCGGATTATGGGTCAATCGTGTATGATTCGGCATCGAAATCAATACTGAAAGGTTTGGATGTTGTGCAGAATGCTTGTTTGCGTGTGTGTCTTGGAGCCCTAATATGTACTCGGATTGAGCGTCTTCAGGTGGAGTCAGGAGTACCTCCCCTCCGACTCAGACGCGGCCAGTTAGCCCTGAGCTATGTCGCGAAGGTGGCTCGAGACCCGAACCACCCTAATGGCAATGGAGGCACTAGGTCCTTTGCCAGAAGACTCCACGACCTCGTCAAGAAAGTCGGTATAGATCTCTCTACCATCGATACCCTGGTTCATTCAAATATAGCAGCATGGGAAACCCACATTTTTTCCATCGTAGAAGCCTGGCTTCCATCAGCTAAGGCCATGGCGACGGAGGTGGAGGTACGCTAGAGGTTCAGAGAGATCTTTATTAAAGATCTTACAAGACAAATGGGTGTGTGGGTGCGGGTGTATGATACGACTGAATGTGAACTGAAGTTCAGATTGCCGAATCATACATCGATCTTTCTCGACAAACTCTTTGCCATTGATAAAACCATTCTTCTATCGACGACCCATTATAGAATAGTTTTTTTCTGATTCATTAAGTCCACTTAAAGCTATTAAATCATTAGAAACCACTAAAAATGAACTGCTGGGTGCCAACCAATCAATCAAGCTAATGTGGGTACCAGACCATGGCAATGAACAGGTTGACAAATTAGCCGGGTAAGCTGGTGATCTGGACCTAAGTGTAGTCCGTACAGGTCTCAGGAGTTTTGCGTTTCTTATAAAAGTAAAAATCCATCTCCTGTGGCAAAGTGAGTGGACCAACCTGCAGCTGACTAATAAAGTCAAACAAGAAATAGAAGGCTGGGATACAGCCCACAGGAAAGAAAGAAGGGAGAAGGTGGTTTTGGCTCGTCTCGGGGTCAGTGCCAC